ATATATAACAAACAATTCTGATACTCAAACTTCTCAAATTTTATTTATTTACTGCGTTAGAGAAATTTGTCCAAGAAGCTAAAAGATCAACAATATGCTACAAACAACATGACAAAGGCTGACATGCATAAAAGGGCTTGGACCCCGGTCATAACTGCTTTGCAGTTCTAGTTATTATTATTATTGTAACTCAGGGGTGTCAAATTCATCTTTACAGAGGGCCACATGAGCATTATAGTGGCCCTCAAAGGGCCAGTTGTAAGAAATTTGACGTTTTGTGTTTAAATTTGACAAAACAGGACACGTTATGTTCCTCATCTCATTGCTACATCTGAGCACCGCTAACAAACAATAACTGAGCTCTATGTGGTATTTCCTGCATAGAAACATCATTTTAACACGTTTTCTAATAAACACTGAAAAGTAYTACATGTATGACTGACTGAATGTGAAATAAACAGTACAGAAATACTATTAAGAGTAAAAATAAGAGAATTTTACTCACAGTTGAGTTGTATTAAGTGTTGAATTCTGAACTCTCCCACCATCTGACAGGAAATTTTCATTCATAATCAACATACATTATAGGAGATGTAGTTTATGGGCAATGATGGCTTATTTAGAGACATTAATATATAGGGCTTTGCAACTAAATTGCTCACRGGGTCACAAATACTCAAAGCCAACAGCCCAGGAGCCAGACAAGTATTATTAACGTTTCAGTTYTTGAATGTTTTCGTTTTATTTCCTGTAGGCTGCATTTGACACATGCTGTAACTCGTGTTTTGAAGTGTGGCTTTTCTAACACCTACAGTAATTAATTTAAGGTGAACCAGCATTTCAAGCATTTATGACAAATTATTTCAGACAGTGCAGCTTTTCCAGTATTTACTGCATCTCATTGGCTGGGTCTCAATCCAGGGGCTGCAGCCCACGTAGGCCGGTTACATCACTGTTCCGGGCCGTAGGCTGTTCCAATTCATAGTCTACTTGTCATGCTGCCGTGGTATCCTGTGTGGTCGATGGTATCCCAGGATTCAATGCACAGTGATCAGTTTTTAGAGACAAAAGCACAGGGTCAAATAAAATGCAAGTACAAAGTACTGATACTGGAGCTAAACCCAAATTATTAATGTTTTTTATTTATTTCTGTAATGATTTTTAATAATACATTTTTTGTGAAGTTTTACCTGCCTTGAAAAGACGTGTACATTTTCCAAATGAAGGCATGTGATATAAAAGTATCACTGTGGTAACRGGGTGGTCACGCAAACATCCCATCATTTCACAACCCTTTCATGCAGCCTACATGGACTGTGTCAGGTTGTGGCCTCCGTGGCTGCAACCATTTTATACATTTCCCCTTTTATTTCAATCTATCCAACTATCCATCCCTCTACCCTTTTTAGCATTACAGTAATTTCATTTAGGTGGTTTTCTACAAATGTTTCAGGACATTTCAAAGACTCTKGTGAAAACAGTCACAGCCGGTCAAGATGTGTGAAGTCAAACTGTCACCATGTACTTTTAAGTGTATAGATTTAAAGAAAACACAGAACCACGGCATCAGATACACCTCTGACTCCTTAAAAGGATTCATTTGTTATCAGTTCATTTATGTGACGTGACTTTAAACACAACATGTAGCCTCAGACGTCTCAAACTGAAAACATCCTCTCACTTGAAAGAAGTTTAAAGTGGATTATTTAGGTGTTTTAAAAAGCAAACACTGAAGCGCTGGTGACCGTTCTGCAGAGTTTCTGTCCTCCGGACAAAAGTGAGCCGCTGCTCTTCACCCGGCGGGCCATCAGGGAGGAAGAGGAAAACGTCTTCATCGGGGAGCTGCATCATTACAGCTTCGCCTGACAAAAACACACTCCTCTCTGCTCCCCTGCCAAACCCCCACATTTTATCCTCACACTCCTCTCACTTCACTCCTTTCTCACACTTCCTTCTCTCTCTCTCTCTCTCACACACACACACACACACACACACACACATATGCGCACACACACCTTTTGGGTGTAATAAAACAGCAGATCAGAGTCATTGGCTGCTGACAGGGACTGACACTGAAACCTGCTGTTGTTGGAAGGCTGCCTGGGAGATGTTCATTACTCACAAAGCTTGTCGGTTTGGACAGGAGAGGAACGACGGTCTTATTAAGTGGAGACCTGGAGCAGCCGTAGGGGAAATTC